ACTTGAACCAGGCCCAGCAGGTTCTGTGATAGTCTTTCTGGGGGCTTTTTTATTTGAACATGTGGCCAATGAACCCCACGGCTGGCCTTCATCTGTGGAGCTTCAGTGTAATTGTTGAATAATAGCGTGTACTTCAAAATAACATCCTTCGAGGACACTTGTGATTTATAATCAATTATTTCTCTTGTATCTCCTTTATCCCAGCAAATACATGAGAATGAAACCTTTTAGAATATTCGAGATCCCAAAGACATAATAAGAGAGAAACTACCTGAAACCCCAACCCCGGGGGTCCCGAATATCACTGGGACGCTTACAAATCGACTGTCATCCCCGACATGCAGAGGGCAAATCTCCAAAAAAAAAAATATATACAAAGCAAAGATATCCTAAATTCAAACTCACACCTCTCTCCCTCACCCCTCTTCTCCTGACATCCCATCCTTGACACAATGACGAACTTCCAAATCCAAATAATCTCAGACACCGTCTGTCCCGTAAGTATTCCAACCATATACTCAGATCTATACCCATCCATCCCAAACCTCCAAATCTACATATTAACCATATAAAAAAAAGTGGTGCTACGTCGGTTACCGCCGCCTTTCACGAGCAATAACCACCCACCAAGCCACGTACCCAGCAGACACATTCAGCCTACACTGGAAGGCATTCTACCTCAACCCGGCATCAGCCGAGTATCCCGGCGTGAACAAAGCCGAGATGTACACCCGGAGATTCGGGGCTGAGCGCATGAGCGCGATCTTCGCTCGGCTATCTGCTGTGGGCAAGGATGAGGGGATCCAGTTTAGTTTCGGCGGGAATACTGGTCTCACGCGGGATTCGCATCGCTTGCTTTGGTTTGCTGGGCAACGGGAGGCCGAAGAGGTGGCTAAGAAGGAAGGTGCGAATGGTGGTGATGGTGTTGTTGGTGGGTTGCAGACGAGAGTTGCGGAGCAGCTGTTTCGGGCTTATTTCGAGGAGGAGAAGAACATTACTGATTTGAAGGTTCTTGTGGAGGCGGGTGTTGGGGCGGGATTGGATCGGGAGACTGTGAAGAAGATATTGGATGAGGATGTTGGTGCTCAGGAGGTTGATTTGGAGGCCAAGACGGCGGCCAGGAGGTTGGTTTCTGGTGTGCCGTACATCTCGGTGCAAGGGAAATATCATGTTGAAGGGGCTGATGAACCCGAGGCCTTTATGGAGATCTTTGAGAAGGTGAAGGCCGAGCAGAAGGAATAAAGAATGTCGTTAGGGTTCTAGTTCTCGCTCAGTCAGAATGTCCTGCTGATTCCTACGGTTATGTTGAATGATTTCAATGTTATTATGATCGTCTGTATAGTTAGTTCTATTGAAACGCCGAAGCAAGTAAAGCTATTCAGACTATCAAGCAAAAACGTAGCTGATTCTATCTTGGTGCATTTGTGTCAAAAAAGATATCTGCACGAAAATGGAAGGTCGAGGTAGAGACACTCTTAGTGACCTGTTACTTCCAGCCCATAAAGCTTTCGAGTATCCCAGGTCATGAAAGTACACAGATAACGCCTTGTCATGCAACGAGTGTCTGGGTTATCTGTAAAATAATAAAAAAAAATAAAAAAATAAACAGTGGAGGGGAGAAAGCATAAATAATACATGATCAAGATGCAAATAGGAAATAAAAATCATGGATACAGCCCAGTAAAGAGTAGAAAAGTGAAGGAGAATGTAAAATGACCAAAGCCTCAAATCCCGGGTCAAGTCATCCCACAAAAGAAGTCATGATAGATCGTAGCAAGTCATGGAATTTTGAAACTCCATGTTCAAATTCTAGGGGCATTTAGTGGGTCGTCTGTGCTTTGACCTGATGCAGTTCGTAATCGGGAAGGTAATCGAACCAGTCGGTCTCAGGATTGTAGCGGTATGCCTTGAACTCTACCCCATATGGCTTGGGCTCAAGCATGTACAGAACGCCCATCGGGACATCGAGGTCAGCAACCTCGTCACGCTTCAGACCACGGAAGTAGGCCAGGAGCACGCGGGCAACGGATCTATGCCCGACCAGGAGTACATGGTCTGTAGTGCGCTCTATCTCAACAATGACTGTGCGCGACCGATTGATGATATCGAGATAGCTTTCTCCGCCTGGTCCGGGGTATCGGTAGAAGAGTTTATCTTTCTTGCGGTGGGCGTACTCCTCGGGGAACTGCTGTTGGATCTCCTTGTATGTCATGCCTTCCATCTTGCCGGAATGGATTTCGTCCAGCATCCTCATCTGCTTAACATCGTACTCATCTTCGTTGAAGTATTCAGCGGTTTGAACGGAGCGTTGCATCATTGAGGACCAGACACAGAAGTTGCGTGGCCCTTCCTGAGGAAGATAAGATGGGTTGGGGGGTGTGATGTCACCGGCTCGAGGCGGGAAGTGCTTTAGAAGGACTTTCTGTCGCTGATATGCTTCCCACTGCTTCCGTTGGTGATCCACGAAGCGAGCCAACGCCTTGGCGTATCTTCTCCCGTTTTCGCTGAGGTCAGAGTCACCGCCGATGCGGCCTGCGGCATCGTCCATACTTTCGCCGTGCCGTGTGATCCAAATTTGGCGCGGAGAGAGATTGAAATTGAGCAAGTAGTAGACGACTTGAGAAGCAAGGAAACCATGGGTCTGGTGAGCGACGACTTTACGACCGACGTCGATCATCTGGATGAAAGCCATACGATGCTTCTCCTCGTATTCGCCGAGAGGAACGTAGGACTTTTCGTAGAGAGCAACACGCTTCTTGAAATCTTCCAGTGCCTCGGTTGGGTCCTGGCCTTTGTAGTCGGGACCAGAGAGTTTTAGGCGCATGTTAGCTTCAAGCAAATCCTGATCCACGCAGCTGCTTTCAAGGAACAGGATATTCAGCTCGGGACCAGCGCGATTGCGAATATGGTCGACAATCGCTTTGCGGCGTTCCATGGTGCTGTTGGTCGCATCGAGGATACCAATGCTGCCACCTTCCTCCAAAATATACTCAAGCAACTCGTCAAGAGTATCCAGCGCAACCTGCTCTCTCATCTTGACGGCACGCTGATTCTGGGGGTCAAAGAAGTTGGCAGTCTGGTCTATTGGCTCAGGGGAAGCTTCATGGATAGCTTCTTCATTCTCACGAGATTGTGCAGGGCCTGCGTCGATCGAGGGCACAACGGTACTTCCGTTTTGAGAAGCTTGTTCGGGCTCTTCTCCATTCACGAGAATTTTGGTTGGCACCACTGGAGGGGGAAGCGGTGCCTCGTTCTCTGGCGGGGAGACGGCCGATGGGTTCAAAGTAGTGCCAACGCTGACACTCAACCGGCGCACTGAGTCAACGAGATCCTTGTGGAAAGTACTTGGTTTCCGCTCCTGGCGATCATGCGGGGCAGGTGAGGGGGACTTTCCAGCGGCCACACGGCGGCGTTGTCCAACATTGAAGATTTCGGTGTCATGTTGGAGCCAGTTTAAGTAGCGGGCCAGCTTCTTGGTGATATAACTTTTGCCTCGGGCCGGGAGGCCGACCATGACAATGACAAGCTTTGCACCGACATCCCGCTGGGCAATGCGGCCATCTGGAGACACCTTGGACTTGGTCAATCCGGGGATATCGAGAGTAGTTGCTCGCACTCGACCGGGAGTACCAGGAGGGTGATAAAGGCCCGATCTGCAAGGATCATATTAGTCAATGTTTGCCAAGCGCATCCAAGGAGGTCCCGAGATAGCAAATGTAAAACAACGGGTTGGAGTCCGGGGTAAGGTAGATCAGCTCAGAATAAGGCTGCAAAGAGCCCCGGAACTGGACTGATCCCGAAGTGAGCCGATCAAGCCTCATTCTGATAGGCTCAAACATAGTAAAATCCAAAGGTTCTAGACAAAAAAAAAAAAAAAAAAGAGAAACAAGACTCACATCTGTGGAGACGGAGGTGCGGTAGAAACCGGAGTGTCTGTCAAAGCCACTCCGACTCCGCCCTTGGACGGCAGTGAAGATTTGTGGGAATCGGAATGCAGGTCGTTACCTAGCGCTCGGTTGACCACAGTTTTCGAAGGCATAAGAGCTCCTTCTTTTCCCGATCCCGAGCCATTAGACGTGCCGGTGGGTTTAATATTAATCCTCTGATCTCCCGTATCAGGCGAAGTGGCCGACGTCATGGCCGACCGGGCAATGCTAGAATGTTGCGCCATCCCACGGGGGGATGTTGTGTGTGTTTTATTAAGAAAGGTATTGCTGCTCTCTTCAGAGCTTTTTCACGGGATCTTCGAGTTGATAAGGACTTGTGTCACACCTGGACAACTCAACAAAAAAAAGTTGGTGAGAGAGGGGAGAGAAAATAAAGTGTGACGGAGGTTTGGATGAGTCAACCAACGGGAACACCGGGTCTGATATTGACCTGAGATATTCAAGGGGATTTGAGATATTCAAGGGGTTGAAAGAGGTTGGGAGTGTTTTTTTTTTTTGATCTAAGGTTCTTTTTGGCGCAAAGATATTTCTTTTGTGTTTTTTTTTTTCCCCCTCCAACATGTGGGAGTACAATATCACTCAAGGATAGGTGCCAAGGACGTCAAAGAGACCTTAAAGTCAGAAATGCTTTTGAAATGATGAAATCACGCAGCTGCAGGTTAGACTTAGTTCGTAAGGTGGATCGATGGCTTAAAGATCGCCCATATATGATGTCAAAGGAAGTGTATACAGCTTTTGAGGGGAAAGATATGGAGCAAGATATTCAGGTCTGATCCAGGATTAAACAGCTTTTATAGACTATGTATCACATTGATGGGAGGTCTCACAAAATCATGCAAGATGTATCGGTCCTATCTCTAATGGAGAATGCTTGGCTACAAAGGGCATATGGAGTACAGGTTCGAGGAAACACGCCGGTGGAGCGAACCATACTCAATCTCTCACCCCTGTGCACTTTGCCCAATATCCTCATAATCCACCGAAATGCTCATGGCCGTTTTCCCGTCTTGGTAGGGAGTGTCAGTGCACCCCCCTCCCCCCCCCCCCCCCCCAAATTGATTCCAGATATGCCCGGCTCAACAAAAGTACACATAAATACTCCATATTTAGAATTGAACTCAGCCTCCAGTGGATCAAACAATAATTATTGGAACACCTTGTGTGACCTGAGTCTCACCGCTCGGGCTGATCCATACTCGGCTTCCTTGGCGACCTTCGGTCCTCGACACAACAGATTGATCTCCGACCAACTGTATGCGTCCGTTGCTGCACATTGATCTCCGCTGCCGTAAGCCCCGAAAATGGTAACCCATATTCCCGTCAGGTGCGGAATCCTTGGCGCTTGGCGGTAACGCAGGGGGGTATCACAGATAGCATGCCTAGAAGATGGCCTCCAGGGATATTGGATACGGTGTGTGGATCGCGTGCAACCATCCGCGCAGAATGTTCCTTATCAGTTGCTCAAGTTCAAGGTCAAGCCAATCAAGCATGCGTATGCCGCAATACTCAGTGCTGTCAAGACCAAGACCGCATTTCCACTGGTACGGAATTTGTGCCGATGGATCCCATCCTCCCCTACTTCAGAGAAGAACTGTTTGTTTCCCTGCGAGCGGCGGAAAAGTCCGATGATGAGAACACCCGTACCGTATATCGCGAACAGAGCCCCAATACTGTAGAACTCGGCGGTGAAAATCTTGAGTACGACGAGGGCGAAGGAGAACTGAGAAAGAGCGGTTCGGACATAAGCCCCCTCGAAGGTGCGTTGGGCCGCACGCACCTCCACCATTTCATCTGAGGTCAGCACGGCCGAACGGGCTCGGTGCATTCGAAGGCGATAACGATCCCCTGCACGACGCTGAGATAGTCAGACTACGAGGTGAGGTAAGACAGGAGAGATGAGGAATATGGAGTAGACGGCTGAGATTTTAGGTAAAAACAGTAAACACAGTAAACACACCTCAAACATGGTCGCGGAAATCTCTAAAATCAAACAAAAGAGGTCAAGACTAAATGTATTGAAAGTGGAATGATATCCCCGGACTTCACAATTTCAAGGAAGTTGGGTTCCGCAGAAGTGAGAAGGGGGGGGGAAGAGATGCGGGTGACCTTGGCCCTCACGTGGACCTTTGGATTTGTATACCTACGATATCGCGTAGTATCATGAGTATTATACTACATATTGTATATGATACTCTATTTTCTCTTCTTAGTTGTTCTTTACATATAATTCACAACCAAATATTTTCCACCAATAATGTCAAGTCAAATTCCAATTTCCTTCTCGGCAATTGAAAATGCCCCAAGGGAAAAGCGGCCGACGTTCCCCACACTCTCCAGGGTCGAGATATGTCTTCTCCAATTTACTTCTCTCACCTTTTCCTCCTTCCCCCTTCCCATTTTCTCTCGAGAGAATACTCCGTGTCGACCTCCATAGTAACCATCACTCAATCCACCCCTCCGCCGTGATTGAGAATGGCGAAAGTATTCGATGCGACAGAAGGTATCGGTTCTCCGCACCGGTCCCTGGTGAACCCCCACGCGGGATGTCTTGACTGACTGAAGAAATAGTTGCAAAGCACAACACTCCTGAGAGTTGTTGGGTGGTTCTATACGGCAAAGTCTACGATGTACGCTTTCATGCTATAAGATCCTCATTGTGTATTGCACATTCCCCGGCCACGTCTGACTCTTATCTAGGTCACCGATTTCCTGGGCAGCCACCCCGGCGGTGCAAAGATCATTTTGAAACTCGCGGGCCAGGATGCCACCGAGGAGTATGATCCTATTCACCCGCCAGGTATCTTAGAAGAGGAGCTTAAGCCTGAGGCATGCTTGGGGACAATCGATGCTAGCACATTACCAAAGGAGCAGGCATCCTCTGAACCTCAAGAAAAGATTGAGGGTCCACCACCTATGGAGAATCTTCTCAATTTGGACGAGATTGAGGAGGTGGCTACTAAACAAGTGAGTAAGAAGGCTTGGGCGTACTATTACTCCGCATCCGACGACCAAATCAGCAAAAACTTCAATAATGAGGTTTACCGGTCCATTCTCTTGCGACCTAGAGTCTTTGTGGATTGCACAAAGTGTGAGGTGGACACAACCGTCCTCGACCATAAACTGAAAACGCCTATTTACGTGTCTCCTGCGGCGATGGCCCGTCTAGGTCACCCATCCGGTGAGGCCGGCATCGCAGAAGCATGCCGTAGTTTTGGAGCCATGCAAATTATTTCCAATAACGCTTCCATGACACCAGAGCAGATCGTCAAAGACGCTGCTCCCGATCAGATCTTTGGCTGGCAGCTTTATGTTCAGATTGACCGCAAAAAGAGCGAGACGATGCTTGCGCGCATCCAGAAGCTCAAGGCGATCAAGTTCATTGTTCTTACCCTCGACGCCCCAGTTCCAGGGAAACGCGAGGAGGATGAGCGAACCGGTATGACCGGACGGACGGCTGCCGTGCCCAGCGGCGTGAAAGCCGCCGAGCGCTCGTCAGACGATACCCCCAATCCAACCCAAGGATCTGGAGGTGTGGGCCAGCAATTGTTCGCAGGCACTGATCCTTCCTTGACATGGACGGATACTTTGGCTTGGCTTGCCACTCAGACGGATCTGCCTATTGTCTTGAAGGGGCTGCAGACTCACGAAGATGCATACCTTGCCTCACTCCACGCACCTCAAGTTAAAGGTATCATTCTCTCTAATCACGGAGGACGCGCCATGGACACTGCCCCTCCGGCGGTTCATACTCTCTTGGAGATTCGGAAATACTGCCCCGAGGTCTTTGACAAGATCGAGGTGTATGTGGACGGAGGTATTCGTCGTGGCACAGATGCCGTCAAGGCTCTCTGCCTAGGCGCGAAGGCAGTTGGCCTTGGTCGCCCGGCTCTGTGGGGCTTAGCGGCGGGTGGAGTCGATGGTGTTCGTCGAACATTGCAGAGTAAGTTGACTGGGTATTTGATCTGGTTCTATTTCTAACTCTGTAGTAGTTCTAAACGATGAAATCAAGACATGTATGCGGCTGCTTGGGGTGGAGCGGATTGATCAATTAGGGCTCCAACATGTAAGTGTCCTCTCGTCACTTCGTCTTTTGGTCTACTAACTCTTCTCTTAGATCAACACCCGCGTTACCGAGCAGCAGATCTACGATGGTCCTACTGCTCTCGAACCCTTACGGCGCGCATTCCGTGCGAGACTGTAGGGACCGCAACCAAACCTATATACTCCAAATGTAAATGTGTTTATCTTATAATTTGACTACTTAGATTCTTATTATCTTACACCCCATTCAACACCTACGGCACTTACAATATCCGATAATCTTTCTCGCTTGATTTTCTCCAAAAAGTATACCCCCGTTGGCCGTTGGCCCACTAATTCAACGCCACCCTCACTCATCTCCACCCCCAATCCACACACAACCAAAAAACTCTTCTCCAAAATAAAATAAAAAGCACAAAAAAATAGTTTCCCTGGGAATCGAACCCAGAACCTTTCCGGAACACTTGCTTAATAGCAATTGTTAACGGAAAATCATAACCGCTAGACCAGGAAACTGATTGATGTAGAATGTGGTCTCCTAACGCATCATGAGTGGGAAGGAACATCTTATTACTATATCTCCCCATATTGAATAAACTACCTACCTAGGTACATACCTAGGTAAGTAAATATCTTGTAATCAAGATTAATAATCGTCTGTTAAAAATTATTTAGAACTGGACTACGGTTAGTAATGTATCTACCTCCAGCCCTGGAGGGCTAGGTATATCCCGAGGTAGCCATACCGTTGAACGGGGCGCATCTCGACTTCTTGCAAACGGTTGCGGGGATCGATCGTCTAGACCTCCCCCACACGTCATTCTCAATGGATTTGTCCAATAAGACTGTCTATTCAGGTATTGATCTTCTCCATGTGTAGTACTCCGTATCCAGAACCCCATGATTGAGCTAGCGTCAAACATTGAAATCTAGATCGTCCGAAAGATCTCGCATGGACGCCTTTAGGGTTTGACAGCTCGGGCTTCATATTCAATCCACATATAGATTAGAGTGCTCGCGGATTAGGTTTGTTGATCTAGTGAATCGCCTTAGAGCTGGTGAAGTACTGAATCATGATAGGACCAAACGCCCAATTAATGGAGATGAGTAATCTTGGATCCGGCAGCTCGCAGCGCCAGAACCGTTAAAACGGCATTGCCTCGTAATCCGTGTGGTTTATATAACTTAGTAGCTAGCCCCAACGAAGGATCCAGACATATTATACATGTGTACCCCGCATCTCACTGTTCCCTTCATATCTCGATCTTACAATGGCTGCAAACATCCAACAATGGTTTCCTCATACAACCGCTCCATTCATTGCTAATGCACCAATGTTTGGATTTACCGATGCCAGCCTAGCAACTGCCGTCGCAAAGGCCGGAGGATTCGGTACAACAAACCGAACTGACTCTTAGACATTAGACTGACCATCATATAGGGTTTATTGGCGGAGGCTTTGATTTTCGATCTGAATCCACCCAGCTCCTGGGTCTGGATACTCAGTTGGCGAATGCCCGCTCTATCCTCGGTTTGACCGATGGTCAACCATTACCGCTTGGTGTCGGTTTCATTACTTTCCAGCCAGACGGGCTCGTTGAAAATGCCATTCCCATTCTCCAGAAGCATCGCGTAGCGGCAGTTTGGCTGTCCTTCCCCCGGGCTGACGCCGATCATCTTCCAATGATACAAGCCATTCGGAAGGCCCAGGAGAGTTCTGACTGGGATATCAAGATATTTGTCCAGATAGGAACCATCAAAGCTGCAGAAGAAGCACTTCAGCAGGGAGTGGATGTTCTGGTTGTTCAGGGAACCGATGCTGGAGGACATCAATGGGCCCAGGGTGCTAGTTTGATATCCCTCTTGCCTGAGGTGCGAGATCTTCTATCAAAAGCGCAGAATACAAGCACTGCTATCCTGGCAGCTGGTGGCATTGTGGATGGGAGGGGCTGCGTTGCTGCTCTTGGCCTAGGTAGGTTGTTCCGAACTTCATTGTTGCAGCTAATTGACAGAAATAGGTGCCGATGGGATCGTTATGGGTACAAGGGTACGTCTTACTTCTCGTAGACGTGGAACCTTGCTAATCGAGTCCAGTTTGTTGCGACCTCGGAATGCCCTGCGCCGTCTGCGATTAAACAGACCATCGTATCGAGGGGCGATGGTGGGGTCTCGACCATCAAGACCATCCTACATGATGTATTCCAATCAACCGATGTCTTTCCGAGACAGTATGATGGCAGGGCTATTATTGGTGTTAGTTACGAGGATTCTCAAAAGGGAGTCAGTAATGAGGAAATCATCCGACGATACAATGAGGCCAAAGAGGCTGGCGAACATCACCGGAGGACTGTATGGGCGTGAGTATTACAACTCTACACTGTATGTATCTCTTGGATTTTGTGTGTTAATGGTTTCAATAGGGGTGCGAGTATTGGAAGTATCAATGCGGTGGTCTCTGTTGAGCATGTTGTGCAGTCTACTCAGCAGGAGGTGAAAGTGGTATTGGAGCGGTTAAAGGCAGGGCTTTAGCTTCATATATGTAGTATCTTTTAATTCATATCTCTTATTTTTGGTATGAAATCAATATGTTGGCCCTATAGCTCTATACTTGCATTATATAGTGATCGGAAATATATATAGAATCAGCCCAAATCTACGCCATAAAGACAAGGGCCATCCAAATCCAATCAATTAGCAAAATAAACACAATCAATAATGTCCTTTTCCGTCAAAATTAGAAATTGGTGTCAAATCAAGATCGACAAGCATTGGCAACAGGCTGAATTGAGTATCCTCCCCCCTCCCCCTCCCCCCCCTCTTTATTCTCAATTCTCAATTCCTCGACCTTCCGAAGTGATCGTCTCTACCTCTCGGTGTTCTCTCCCACAATTACACACCTTTCAGGCAAATCAAGATTCACGGTCGTGTTTGGTCAGCCTTGAAGTTGGGACCTTGGTGTTCCCTTCTGAGCTGCCCGCGATTTATTCCTCGATTTATTCCTGTCCGCCCAGCCACGAATACAACGTTGAATCGTGAATTTCTAACTGGGACTTGCAAGAGCCTATTCCCTACTTTCCCCACTCTCACAATCCTCGACTCGACCCTCAGCGACGATCAATCCGCCGCGATGAATAAGACCACACCCTCGCCAAGCCCCGTCCCCAAAGCTTCACCAGGCTCGAAACCATCTCCCTCGCCGACCGCAGGCACAAAGCGCAAGAGAAATTCCCCGGCCAAATATTATGCCGTCAAGGCGGGTCACAAACCGGGTATCTACTATGGGTGGAATGACTGTCTGGCTCAAATAACGGGATTCAAGGGAGCAATTTGTGAGTGCGCTCTTCGCAGTGGTTCTTCCAATAGGTGCGCAAATTTGGCCAGAGACTGATACATAAGCTCTCTAGTCCAATCGTTTCCCTCACAAGAAGCAGCCAACGCGTTTCTGAACGGTACCAAGCTCCCAGCCGAATCGCAGAGCTCAGAGAACACACGATTCTATGGAATCCAAAGGGGCCGGGTTACTGGAGTATACACAGACTGGACAACGGCACAGGAGCAGATTCGTGGGTTTCCGCGACCTCGATATCGCAAGTTCTCCACCCGCGAAGAGGCAGAGGATTTTGTACGGGAAGGACAGACCCAGCCCCCCGTCGGGTTCGGCGTGGCAACTGGGCCTTCTGGGCCTCATGGGATAACGATAGAGAAACCAAAAGACGCAGAAGGGGTCGAGTTTGCGCCAGGTGATGGCCCATTGCCGACAGGAGCTGAGGATGGGTTTGACCCCAACGTCCTCTTAGACCCAGCCACTGGCAAGGTGGTGTACAAGACCGCCCCCCAAATGGCAGCGACAAAAACACAATCAACAGGTATCCCAGGGATGCTCCGGATATACACCGATGGGAGTTCATTACGGAATGGTACCCCATTAGCATCGGCCGGGGTAGGGGTATACTTCGGGCCTGGCGATTCAAGGTTCGTACATTCGCCCGTTGAGTTATTGTCCACCACGCCTTCTAACTTCCGTCACTTATCCCAGCAGAAACGTATCGGAGCCACTAAAAGGCAGTCGTCAAACGAACCAGCGCGCTGAATTGACCGCGATCCTTCGGGCGATTGATATTGCCCCCCGGCACCGAGATGTAACCATAATCACCGACAGCCGATATTCGATTGACTGTGTTACCGTATGGTTTATTAACTGGCGTCGTAACAATTGGATGACCCGGGACAAGAAGCCGGTTGAGAACAAGGATCTGGTTGAGTCGATTCTGATCAAAATCGAGGAACGCAATGACCTTAAGGTGAAGACCTTGTTTGAATGGGTTAAAGGTCATAATAAAGACCCCGGCAACGAAGAGGCCGATAAATTAGCCGTCAATGGAGCCCAAAGGGGGGTGTCTGCTAAGACAGATGCACTGCATGTGGCCCAAGAGGTGCCTGATGAATTGTTTGATGAAGATTTTTAGGCATTTTGCAGAATAAAGAGAACATCTTGCATCCCAATGGAATAATATTCAATAAGTAATTTCTACCTATGTACTCCGTACCCATGTAGATAATGTAGATCGCGTGTCAGATGCCAAGACCTGGGATGTTTTCGCACAACCACCGAGGTCTTCTTTCTCTTTTCTTCACATCTTCATTTCTTCACCTCCATAGCACCATACGAATGCTACCATTGTTTGCTTTGAAGCCATTTCAATACATCCAGATGATCTTTTCTACAATCACACAGGAAATTCAAACTATGATTCAATAACATTTGCTTGTACTCATTCAACATTGACATACAAAGACTCTAGATCTCACTGATCTGACTCTTTTGAATTCAACATACTCATTTAGTTGAAAAATCTGGGCCTTCATCGCCCTCAAATACAAACTCAGAACATTTCAAGCGGGATATAGTGTAGGTCAAAATGCCGACACTCGCCTTGATCAACTTCAACATCGTCTGCGCTACGCTCGGAGGTTTTATTTCCCTCTTCGGGCTAGTATCCTACCTTTGCAAGGAGAAGTTCTACCTATCAGAAGCATGTAAGTGCTAAGTGCTCGGTGATATCACCACATTTACTAACAGGAAATAGTAATCTCCCTGCTAGCCGGAGTGTTATTCTCTCCCCATGCAGCCAATTTCATCAGACCGGATGACTATGCACTCCACTCTGAAGAAAATCTGGAGGCAATCACTTTGCATTTTACCCGCCTAGTGCTAGGCGTGCAGCTAGTCCTAGCCGGAGTTCAACTCCCAAAGCGGTATCTGCAGATCGAATGGCGGAGCCTAGGGCTACTCCTTGGACCAGGCATGGCTGCCATGTGGATGTGCAGTAGCTTAGTGATCTGGGCCATGGTTCCAAACTTTAAGTTCCTCCATGCCCTGATTATCGGCGCATGCGTGACTCCAACCGACCCCGTTTTGTCCAACTCAATTGTCAAGGGCAAGTTTGCTGATAAACATGTCCCGCGTGAGCTGCAGAGGATTATTATCGCTGAATCTGGCGCTAATGATGGCCTTGGCTACCCATTCCTTTTCTTTGCGATCTATCTTCTCCAGTATACTGGAATGGGAAGCCAGAGCTATAGCGGTGGCGCTGGAAAGGCGATGGCGCTGTGGTTCTATGAGACTTGGGCATACACCATTCTGTTAAGTATGGTCTATGGAACTCTGGTTGGTTGGATTGCGAGGAAGTTGTTGCACTGGGCAGAGGAGAAGCGCTATGTTGACCGGGAGAGCTTCTTGGTGTTTGCCATTGCTCTTGCAGTGAGTTCACCTCAAAACACAAAAGAAAACGTGCTTTGCTGATCTCTCAATAGCTGTTCATTGTGGGAACCTGTGGTTTGATTGGGACAGATGATCTTCTTGCCTGTTTTATTGCTGGAAATGTATTCACCCAAGAGTAGGTCACCTCGACGCCGGCTATGATATCAGGAAGGCTAACAGAGACAGTGACTGGTTCCGCCTTGAGACCATGGACGATTCCCTCCAACCGACAATCGACATGCTTCTTAACCTGTCTGTCTTCATGTGGTTTGGAGCGGTCTGCCCATGGTCATCCTTCCTGAACAACAGCGTGATTCCAATCCATCGGCTCATCTTCCTGGGAATATTGATCCTCCTAGTCCGCCGCCTCCCGATCGTCTTCGCCATGCACAAATGGATCCCGCAAATCGACCTCTTCTCCCAGGCTGCATTTGTCGGCTTCTTCGGTCCCATCGGAGTGGGCGCCATCTTCTACCTGTCAATCAGCCTTGAATTCCTGCGCAAGATCCAAGTCGACGGCGAAGTCCCAGAGGACGTAAAGCAAGTCATGGAGACCGTCCAGGTTGTGGTCTGGTTCCTAGTAGTCTGCAGTATTGTGAGTCTTCTCCCCAAATAACCAAATCCCCACACCCACCTATCTTGTTCATCTTCTGACCAAACCCAGGTCGTGCATGGCCTCTCAGTCCCCATTGGAAAAGCCGGCTATAACCTGCCAGCAACCATCTCCAGCGTCATCAGCACCAGCACACACGAGGAGCGCGAACCGGTCCCCATATCAAACACTAGTCACACGCACAGCACGGCCACACCTCTCACAACGGGGGAGGATGCGAGTTACCGCAGCCGCAAGCGTGGTTTCCGGAGTGCAATCCCCCGCCCGCCATTCTTTGGGATTGGCGGTTCGGTGATCCGTCCTCGTTCACCGTCCCACCAGCCCGGCGTGGGTCAACCCGATGAGCCGGAGAGACCCGTCAACCTGGTTCTTCGTCAGAATAGTAGCGGGGATAACAAGCCCTAGCCCTAGTTGCACCTGGGGATTTGATAGATCCAGGCAGCTAACGCTTTGCTTTGATTGGATTCATCCAATTGCTTGATTAGCAGAGCGAAGTATTGCGTGGGTCATTATATCTCCTGCTTTGATTGCCCAGCATTTTAGACAGCATGCATAAGCATATTGTTTTCTGTGGTCCATTTCAACAGCATTATCGGGGTTTTGCCTATGGATCTGCATATTTAGCCGCCTCAATATGTCCTGGACTCAGCTTTGTTTATATGGTGGTTTTATTCAAACGTATACATAGTCAATAATCCCATTGGTAAAATCTCTACCCGGCTCCCTCGAATCATATTAATATTCTAAATTGCTTCACTGTCAAACTCAACCTCGCCCATTTTCTGTGCCAATATTACCACAGGCGACTAGTTGTAAATACAGCTCTTTGTATTTTGTGATAGTCGATAGAGGGCTCTTGCAGGTGACTTGGCAAGTTCGAAACCCAACTATATAAATGTATTAATAACTCCTTGATCACCATCTTGGGATAACAAAGTATCAAACCTATAGTCAAGATTGACCCTTCTGAATATTTCATTGATATTCCGCTCAAACTCTTCTGCTTTCGCACCCTTGATATGCTGATGTACCAAGTCAGCATCCTCCCATTGTAGATAACCTCCAAGTTCTAAAATGTGTTAGCCTCTATAGATCCATGGATACTTGTGAAAGTACCTAGGTATAGCTCGGGACTTACTTAATAGATGCTTGACATGACGGGACAATGATGATATATCATTTCCTCCCAAATTACTAGCCCACATTCTTAGGTGCCCACGTCATATTGACCATATAAAGACGAAGGCGGATCAACCAAAGAGTCTAGAAGCCCCAGCGTAACATTCACTCATGAGAAGTTGTCGAGCATTGCACCATTTGTCATTCCGGATGTTCCTGAATTTTAAGTGATTACATAGAGTCTCATAATAACGCCATGCCATAAATATGGGAAACCCAAGAGTACAAGAACTAGATAGATACAAGCAAGAGAGACGCAACGAAGCTTTACACAAGCCCTAGATAACCCACAGCGCCATGCCCAGACCATCATAGACGATTAGGAAGAATAGCAATACAAGTGAAGTGGTGTGCATTGGTATCAAATGTGCCCGGACATCCGTTTTTCATGCCCTAACTAAAGGAAACTTCATAACCTCGTCAAGGTGTTTGAACTGATAACCAAGATAACCGTTCCCTCCCGAAGGGTACCAGAGAGACCATATTCTCTGATCGAATGTGTTTTTTTTGGGAGTTTTGTTTTTGTCATTCCTTCGATATCGTTACACGTCATACTGAAAAGCAAAATGATAACGCCGTTGATGGGTCCGTATCGAGATCGTGAACTCATCGTGATTCCGAATTCATGAACTTGCAAAAAGGCGAGAGATAACACGCAATTTAAGACAAGCTGGCGTGCAGTTCGCGGGCACGGCGAGCGAGGGGTGAAATAAGTCGCAGGATTGGGTCGTGCGGGTTGCGCTCAACGACTGACATGTACAGGGTATTGAGGCGCTGGCTCATGATGTCTAGAATGCGAGGTGCGACTTCGCGGAGATCGGTGTCCTAAAAAGCCAGAGAGTTAGTGAACATGTTGCAAAGATTTGAGATAGAATAATGACATACCCTGGGGTTCACGTTTTGGAGAACCACCTCGAGCCAGTGGAGGCGCTGGCCAATGTTGGTCTGCATGGTAGTGGTGACAGCAACGGCCACGGAGAGCATGACGATCGCAGAAAGTCGGGACATGTAGGAGGGAGATATGTGGACGAAGAAGTTGTCAAACAGGTCAGCTTGCTGGTTCGATTGGAGCCACTAGGAAATTTAACGTTAGTAGGAACATAGGATATATGGAAGTGATCGAAACCAACCTTGATAGTGCCCTGCTCGTAGTGTCCAGTATTGATAAGCTGCACAATATCGCCCATTTCGACTTCTTCGGGGGATCGCGTGGCAGGGGAAGCGACAGGAACCGGAGCCGGGGCCTGGACCGGGATAGCCTGAGGCTGAAGCACAGGCTGAGACAACGGCTGCGGCATGCGCACGTGGTTCTCGCTTGGCTGTCTAGCCGAGGAGCGCTTGTTGACGTTCAAGATCTCGCGGTGGGGGATCTCGTGCTGCGGACTTTGGCTCTGCTGAATTTGATGGCCCTGGTTCGCAGCCAGCAAAGAAACGGTCTTGGACAAGCCACGCAGGACGGCCGACATCTCCTCAATCTTTGCGGTATCACTCTGGCGCTGGGCCTCGTAGTGGTTGATCTGCGCCTGGAAGTGGCGTTCCATATCCGACTCCACCTTCTTGGTGGTACGTGCCAAGCTCTCAATCATGGGGGCAATCGAAGATTGCATGACCCGGGTGACTTCCGCCTCAATGCGAGGTGCAAGCTTCTGCGCGACTGAATCGGAGACAGCCTTCACCACAGGTGCCTGCTGCATAGCGTTGATGACAGCCTTGGGAAGAACCTGTCGCAACTCCTCATTGAACGCGCCTCCAAGCTGTTGAGAGATAGCGCCATTCAGTTGCTTGTTGACCGCTGCAGAGGTGGCATCGGCGATGACAGGAATAACGTCGGTCTGGATACTGGCTGAAACAATACGCGTCAAATTCTTCTCGACGTTGTCGGAGAGCGTGCTTGAGACCAGGCGCAACACTTGGTCTTGCTTGGCTGACGAGGCAGCATCCCAGCTGCGACGTTCATCGTCAAAGCGACGATGGAGGTTCTCAAACTCATGGCCAAGACTCTTGTTGAACTCGCTTGAAACACTGCCCTGCAGGGTCTGAATGTGTTTGCTGAAAGCTTCACTTGAGAAACCGAAACCAGGCACTGGGTGTTCGGCAGCCTGAGTCGCACTCATCGCCGCAGTAGAAGACGCAAGGCTCTCGAATTCCTTGGCAGCGGCGGAGGGGACTGGCAGAGGCTCGACACCGGCAGTGACGGATGGCTCCTTTGCCTTGGCAGCTTCGGTGGCAGCAGTAGCCTTCTTCTTCTTCTTCTTTTCAGCCTTCTCAACCACGACAGGTGCCGCTGCTGGCTCAATAGGCTCTTCCTTCTTTTTGACCAACTTAGTAGGCGAAGTGTTACGCGAAGGAGCAACGCCAGAGGCCAATTCTCCAATATCTGGCTTTTTCGCCGATTCCTTGGGACCAACGCGAGACTGGATAGAGGCTGTGTCACCGTTGACAGATGGTTCATCGGTGGCGTATGTGGGGAAAGTTTGAAGATCGCTGATTTCAATCAAGCCGTGCTCCAATGCATCAATAGGGCGAATAACCTTATTATCCGCAGTCCATCCCAAATCCTCCTTCTTGATGTTCAAGCAGGTCACACCGCGCGAGTGCATAACGTAGAGCTCGAACAGGGGATTTTCCTCAATACCGCGCTTGTCAGTAGCGGACTTGGTGATAGGGAGAAGCTCCAAACTTCTCAGCTGGCCCTTGGAACCGAGAGAGATCTCCCGAATTCCACTCAAGCAAGCAGTAGACTCGGGCTTGGGTAGGGTGTTGTCCTTATCGTTGAGGTCTCGGATGTAGGCTGCCTGTGACATCTGAGGCAAATTGTACCGAGGAGCCGAAAGATGAGCAAAGTAGATAGAGTTACGCGTGGGATGTCCAACGACAATGACCCCCGATGATGGGTGATAAGCCACGCTGCAGATGGCATCGGACTCGTTCTCATGCGGGAACTTCAACTCCTGCACGGCCTTGCCCAGCCCAATATCCCAGAGCTGCAAGGTGTGGTTTTGCTTGAGTCCAACCAAAACATAACGGAGCGCCATAGATCGCGAATAAGCGCGAAGCTTATCGAGGAAGAGGACAGAAGTGGGCCAAGACTTTTCGGTTGGGGAGCCAGTGACAAAGGTAGTCAAGGGCACCCGGATCTCAGCAGGGGCGGGACCTTCCACAAAGCTCGCGTCGTTAAGCATATCATTTATATCCCAGAAGCGCAGTCGGCCAGTCTTGTCCAAAGAGGCGATGACGGAATCATCATCACTGAAAGCGAAGTCTTTGCCGGCTTTACCAGTGGAGATCTTCAATGCACGCTCCTTGAAGAATTTCTCAGTGTTAACTGTACGCTGAGTACCAGAAACGCCGTAGGTAGGGCTCATTGCTGCCTTTGGCGAAACAACGTAGATGTTCTTGCCCCGACCAATGGCAAACAGGTTGGTGTGACGAGTGCTCCGCTTGGCCCGCGTTTTCAGCTGGCCACCAGAGGTGTTCTCGTCTGAAGCCGGGAAAGGTGGGAAGATTAAGCTTTCGCTTTCCAAGGCATCCATATCAAAGAAATCCTTTCCAGAACGCGAGATCAAAGCCCAGTATACAGAGCCGCTGACTCCAATGCCGAGGATGGCCTGGACTTCGGAGTCACCAGCCGCAGAAGGAGCTGTGCACAGGGCAACGTTGAACACTCGATCACGGGTGGAACGGAACACCTGTCGGTCACTACCGTCGTCCTGTCGAATAATTCTGATTCCGCCAGTTTTAGCGAGCGCGTACACGATGTATTCGGATGTGGCCGCAGTCAACGAGCGGTCCAGCTGATCGAACTCCTTCTTCAAACGAGCAATATCCATGACATCGTCATCACGGAAGGTTGTAAGTTTTCCAGACATAGCTTTCACAGCAATGGAGATGAATGGCCTCATTGGGAAGTTGTGAACAGAGACAACTCGTTCTTCTTCCTTTTCAGCGCTGTCTTCGGCACTCTCCCAACTGTCAGCTAGAGCCTCGGTGTTCTCAGTCGCCTTCGGGGCAACGGGAACTGCGGAAGGTTCTCTCTCCTTCTCGAGCTCGTCAACCTGGGACAAGTCGGCTGCTTCTTTAGCCTCAGCAGCAGACTCGCGCAAACGACTAGCGATCGACGAAAGGACTGCTTCGGAGGATTCCTCTTGGACAGTAGAAACAGCAGCTCTGGCTTCCGTTGCAGCCTGAGGCTCATCGCTGCTGAGAGAGCGGCCAATCTCATCTACGAGACGACCAACGACCTCATGCACAGCCTCTCTTTGACCTTCATTCAAGATTGGTGACTGGGTCCTCTCCCTGGGGGCCCCAAGCTCGGGTGTCTGCGAAGGCTCCAGCTTAGCAGAAACATTGATCTTCTGCTTCTGCGTGACTTCAACAGCTGGGCTCTGGATGCCAGAGGTAGACTGGGGAGACTTGTTAACAGGAGAGATAGCGGCCAATTGGTCAAACGGATTGACATAGGTGAACATTGAGTCCTTCGAGTTAGGCGATACGACCGTTTCCGGGTTCGCAGGCGCCTTGGGACTCTCATCCACAACTTCCATGAAGACATTCTTGGCTGTCTGGTTCTGATGTTCATCGACGACAGCCTGCATATATGGTGCCTGCTGAGTTGAAGCCAGCGCCGGTGATTCGGCGACAGCAGGGCCCGGCTGAGAACGGTTGAGCAGGCGAAGTAACATATCCTGTGTGTTCTCATTAGGGCCCTCGGGCTGATCAGAGTGGAATGCCGGGTGAGGGCCAGCAGGCGCAGCCGCAGGGGCGGCAGGGGCCTGTTGACCGAACAAAGTAGCAACTAAGTCAGACGCGGAAATATTTCGTCCGTGCGACGCAGGAGCTCCCTGGGCCGGTGGGGACTGCAAGTGCTCGGAAGCTGCAGCTGGGGCCTGAGGCTGAGGGGAAGCACCGGGGCGCTGGCTGAATCTGAGAAGATTCAAAAGGTCCACAGAGCCTGGGTTGGTGTGCTGCGGTTGCGGCTGCTGGGGCCATTCGCCCCGAGGAGAAGGCATGTTAGGGCTCAAGATATCAGAGCCCTGGGGAGGGGGAGCATTCATTGGAGCAGGACTTTGGGTACTCGAGGATACCGATGGATGTTGGTAGCCATGCGACTGGGGATGAGGGTAGCTCTGGCCATCGTAAGGTTGCTGCTGCTGAGGGTGCGGCGGGAACAGACCGGCCTGGTAATACGATTGGCGCTGGGCTTGAGGGTTATCCTGGCCAGGAGTGTTCGAAGGAGAAGGACGCGGCCGGATACTGGCTAAGAGAGCCTGGAGATCGGTGGGGGTGGACATTTCTGCCGTTACGCCGTGGTTACAGGCGACCTCCGCCGATAGGATCCAAGCTTTGCAGAGCTCTCAGAAGCTCTCTTTCGAGAGGGACAGAGTATGAAATTGGGAATCACAAAGGCTAGAAAAGGCGACAAAAGAGCAAATCAGAGATAAGTACGAGAAAAGAGAGATGGAATTGAAGAACGTGGTGAAGTAGAAAGAAAGGGTGAAGGAGAGAAGAACTCTCGGTAATATTGTTCAAGCCGTGGGTGTGGCGAAGCCTGCCGAGTTGTGGCGGACTGTGGCTAGTGTTATTTCTTGCCCGACTCGCGTCATTAGTGAATCGGATTACTTTTACTTCTTCTAGCCCACTTTCACTTACTGAGTTCGAAGGTGGTGAGCTCACTGGACTATTAGGATATCTTAATTACGTCAAACGACGCTTTTGTCCATCTATCTGCATCCTTCCGCCAGAAGGCCAGCGCCCGCAAACCCACATCATGTTCTGTCTACGAAGGTAAGAGAAGCAACCAACCTTAGAACCAGCAGCCAGCAACAAAGCAGGTGATTGAGACTAACCCAGATGACCCATACTGCAGCTGGCTACCTCTCCTTTTCATCCCGACCAACGCCTCCCCCACTCTTCATAATATCGTTTGTTGCCTTGACATACATCATCCACCGGCCATGTATCTACTGCTCCGCTTTGCTCCTGATTTTATTCGTCTCGTCATGTCATTGGTCAGACCGATGCATCTTTGACCTACGGAGTAATTGGTTTGCACCACGCTATACCTCAGAACCTAGCGATTATGCTATCTCAGGCAACGCAACCTCCGAAGCAACAATGTCTGGCGAGGGTCTGACGGAATTTGTTTTCGATACTATGAACTCTACCGCCAAAGCCTTGGCTGGTGCTGCGTTGAAGGGCGTCCAGCAAGGACTTTCCCCCAATGGAATGGAGTCAAGGCCCAACGAGTGGACAGGAGTTGGGTTGGAGTGGATGCGCAGCCTCTTGGGGAGACGGGAGTGGACTCTTCCATGTGTCGATGTCAAAGTTCGACTATGAAGTGTGCAAAAGTTTTAATCAAGCATGGTTCCCCTGTTGATTTATTTAAATGGACTGTTGATTTCACCTACATTATTTACGACTCTTGTGTGTTTTCAGTTCATGTGCAGACCTTGATATCCTCCCTTGGACACTTATAAATAAACATTATACAAAACCCATTCTATACTAATCTGTCAATCATTGAATGACTTTCTGTTAGAGATATATATTCTTCTGCTATTGTAACTGAAGCTAAGTGGTGGTTACATATAACATAATGCGATACTTGTCTTGAAGGGGAGGACGTTGTCTAGCCTTGGCTTAGCCCTCACTTATATGTCCCTCATACCAAGTTAAACATCAAAGTCGATAAAGACGAGAAGAGCAGAAAGACAGGTAGCATTCCTACGGAAATGGGGCTGTCTGCTATATATGCATTGAGGACTGAAAGGCCCTGAACCATGACATGCAATGACAAGATCCCAACTATCATGCAGCTGAGGGCCGCATGGCGATTACTTGGAAGATGGCTCATTGCCTCCATTATTGTTCGAGGCCGGACAGATACCGAGTCCAATAAGCGCACTTTCAACCGCTGGAAAACAAGCAACACATGAGCAGATCTAGACTCGGATCTTAGTCATTGTCCCCAAAGCAAAGTCGACGAAGGCAAAAGAATATACTTGACTCATGGAAGTAGTTAAACACTTCTGCAGAGCAGCCGGATCACCATTAGTGATTGCATTACCAATGCACGTAAGCTGCGCCGACAAGTTGAGACAAGCAGCGAGACTACACGCCTGTGGGAGCTGCCGGACGATATCTAGATTCTGTTGCCGCACTATATGTATACTTTGCATTAGTATGCTAGCTTATCCAAATTATATTCGAAGAATTGAGCTTATAGAAAGGGATCTGTACACGAGGGTTGGACGTGGGTATTATTGGCCACAGGAGCTATTCCTGCCGCTGAGGTCAACCCTGAGGCGAGGACGAGAGCGGTGATATTGAAACGCATATTTGAAAGCTTTTGGAGAGAACTGAAAACAAAGAAACGAGAGGGATAGGTTCTAATTTGTATCTATTAGGTTATAAAGGGACGAGTTTACGCTGTTGTTGAATTAGATAGCTGCTTGTTATATACACCGAAGTTTTCGAGTCATTCGCAGCAAAAGAGATGGACAGTCAGCCCTCGGCATGAATGACACATTGGCGGCCAATTAGTAGATATGCATATAGAGGGATGTGCAAACTAGCATTCCCAGTTGGTCACACTGAGTCGCATTAAAAGGCTTGTCTTTCCCCAATGTCCGTATTGGGGTAGGTAGGTAGCATCAGATACTACCTACCCAATATAAGAGACTCGAGGGGCGTTTACACAAAAGCCTTCCCGTGAATAATTTGGTCTGGAGATGGGAATCAGCTGTTTCATTTAGGGTTGATGAACTCGGGAAAGGTGAGATAGCTAAAGTCGATTATTTGACATGTGTTACAACTAAGTACATGGCGAGGAGGTATCTGCCATAAAACAAAATAACGGATAAACGCCGACGAGGAAGTGGTCGACCAGTAGTTGGACTGGCAGATCGAAACTCCAGGTAAATTCATAAAACATAGATCGGCTGGAACGAGTCACAAAGCAAGGCATGATAACCACCGTAAAGGTAAGAGATGGCAGGTGAATCGTGAAACATGACTCAAGGAAATGGGGTATCACAACGTCGACAATCCCAGTTCAAGATCCAGACTCGTAAACAAGCGTGAAGAAAGTTATGTATGGCAGAAAAATAATTAGAGACGTTAGAATTTCGCACGCAAGAAACTGACGAAGCAAAGTCATAGATAATGCAAATGGCATAATTATCAGATCAGTTGTAACCACCGCCACCCACGGGCAGAGGCCAGTCATCTTCAGTGATACTGCTCCAGAAGGCCCAGACCCCGGAGACAGAAAGGAGGGTGAAGAGAGTTTCGAATAAAGCTCCATTGATCTTGCCGTCCGAGGCCTGGCACAGGTGGGTGCTGATCACATAATTGAAGACCTGACCAATTGCGAACAACAAGCCAGCACCGGTGAGATACACTGTTGCACCGTTAGCACCTGTTTTCATTTTGAGTCCAGTGTGGTGTACTTACACATTGGTCGGAACTCGCCCAGGACCCGGAGCACTAGTACGGCTTCCAGGAGGTAGAACAAGACAATGCAGACGAGCGGGAAGAGTTGGTACATAACATAGAGGGCGATGTTACGATTTGGTGTATCATAGCTTGACTGGAAACGGCCAGTCCAATCGAATCCGGTGTCCAAGGCAATATAGCCTGTCCCGATGAAGAGAGCTGCGGCAGATGCGCAGATGAGGCCGATGGAAGCTGCGGTGCCGTCGTCAAGCAATTGGAAGCCGACAAGTGCGTTCATGAGAAGGACCCAGCAAGTAGCTGTGATCGCGGCGATGTGTACTGCAGAAAACCCCTAGATGCTTTTGTCAGCCGAAGCCTCGGGTCTATCCTGTAGAAATCCTACCTTTCGGACTGCGTCGCTCAGCGGGAAGCCGCCCACTGTGAAGATCTCGCAGATCTCGATGATGATGAAACCGAGCAAAAACAATTGCATTTCCCTGCACACACCGGCATGTCAGTTGATAATCCCATAGCGAACAAAGATGTCCCATACCTTCGGCCGACGGCAGCGTGCTTTTTGTCCGATCTCCATATCATGCCCACGGTCAAGACAATGGCGATGAAAGCCAACAGAATCGAACCTATCAGAAATCAGCAATCGTGCTCATATCATGCTCATATCATTTGTCCCCAATCGCATCGGCCTCGGCTTCGCAGATCGTACCTAAATTCCGAAGGTGTCTATCCCCACTGAGAGGAATGCCGGTCAGATCGCATGCCCCGAAGGCATCAGCCGCAGTTTGATTGGTGAAAAGCTGTAAGCGACAAATGATATAGTCAGTTGACAATTCCAAGCCATCATAAGGGGTTTTCAAAAAGATCTCACTCACATTGCAGACTGGTAGGGTTGAGTCGCGACAGAAGTCCTGTGGTACCCATACGGGTGTGCGGTCAGTATCTGCCCATTGGAGGGTCAGTCTCCAGGTCGATCTGCACTTACGTGAAAGTTCCCGAATTGAGTGGACCCCATTGTGAATTGGGGGGTTCAAACGAGAGGTGAAAAAGACGTGAGGCAATGTTGACAGAAACTGTTGAGACTTGAGAGTTCAAGATTGGGGGGGGGGGGGGAAGCGTCTTGACCCGCGCGGAGGACCGGTCCAGATCGGTGGATCTCTAGTGAAACCAGGTTGAGGTTGGATTTGGAGTAGAAGTAGAAGTAGAAGTAGAGAAGTGAAACCGTGTAGCTGTGTAGCTGTGCAGTGTAGAGAATAGCGTACTATGAGGGGAAATAAGAAACGATTCAAGCTGATTCCCACGGGTTACTCGGGGGACTCACAGGGCTGGCGCTAGTGCTTAGAGTGAAAAAAAAGCCTGAACTTCCAAGTTTTCGCGAATTTCGATCCAAATCGACTGAAATCTGATTCAATCAAAACAATTCCCCTTGAAAAATGGAGTGTGGCAATGGTGAACCTTTGGGTCCAGTCACTAATAATAGTACAATGTTCCGCCGAACCATGGGAGTACGTAGTCCTGGTATTAAACAGTATAAAATTGCTGTAGAGAGTCTTTTTCTCTTTGATCTTCTAGATACTTGCAGATCTTCCTGGATCTAGTGTTGGTATTGTTTTCTTTTTTTCTTCTTCTTCTTATTGTGGATAAAAAGTGGTTACCTCGACCCTTGCCGGAGACAATAATATGGTCGCCAGGTCGACCAGAGATGGACTCAAGCCACAATTTAGTAAATGTACACATACGATCCTCTGAATTTTGCATCCATAGAATTCTGGACCATTGAGATATATATGCACCCAGTCATGTTTTGTGCCTGCAGTGCTCTACCGTTACGCTGTACCTCTACGGGGTATTCCCATAGTATTTACTATAAGTATACCCCTTAAGAACTCGATGTAGCCCCGTTGAAAATTAATTGATTCACGTCCAATCTTAGCGAATCAGCCCCTTCTTCTGTACAGTACTTCATGCAGTTTGACAAGTACTCGAACGCTCCTCTTAACACACATCCTCGATCACCAATTTTTGCCCATCATGATCGCCCAGATCCAGCTTCAAAGTGCGCCCAAACAGCTCAAGCAACATCTCGAAGCAGACCTTGGTAATAGCTGGATCATACCGACCCTTACTAAGCTCATCACGGATAAAGGCATCTGGATAAGTATACTTGTCAACATATTTGTGTTTGATGGTCCTGAGAGATGAGTTCAACTCACGCTGCGCCCAAGCGACTTCATAAAAGCCGAACAAGACACCCTTTTCATGCAGGGTCTTGCGGATGAGATCACGTCCCTCGGGTGGGACGTGGTTATCGTTTTTGCCGAAGATCTAGAGATTGTGTTTAGCAATTGACCCAAATGAAAAACAATAGAAAAAAAAAAATCAAGACATACCATTAGCATCTCACCCTTGATATCACCGGCTCTCTCCAAACTATCATCATTCTTGCCCAGGGCAAGGGTCTTGCTGTGGATATCCGTGGCAAAGTAGCACACGCTCGCCTTGACCCGGCTATCCAGCGCGCAACGATAGGCCAAATGGCCACCAAGACACATGCCTGTGGCACCAACTTGGCCATTGCAAGTGGGCAGCGAGAGCAGATAATCCACGCTGAGACTAGCGTCTTCATCATAAGCGGCAAGTTTCTGATAGATAGTTAGCACTGGAAACTAACTCGAAAAAAATAGTCTAGTAAAGAACAAGAATAGAAAAAGCAAGAAAAGCATGTATCCATGGAAGCTGTATTATTTCGCTTACCTTGCCAATCTTCCATGCATTCCCCTTGTCCGTGTCCTCTGCGTCATACTTCAGAGCTTCCGGACCAGTGAATTCATGGTAGCTTGAAGGAGCAGCACAGATGTAGCCCTGGCCTGCGATCTGGCGTGCAA